GATTGCAACCCTCAGTGTCGCGCCCGTACTGGACCGGGACCAGCAACGGGATCGCAACCCTAGGTGCCGCCCCCGCTCCTCGCTCAGCCAGTGAGCGGGAACCGGTCTGCATGTGGGATCCGAACCCTCGGCGGGAGCGCCGCCATGCTTCCCAAGCGGCGCACTGTAGCAGTGCGCCACCGGGCCGGCCCCCAGCAGGCCTATTTCTGACAAATTAGTTATTATTCTAAGACTGAATTTTTAAAAAGTTGATTTTGGTTTTTACCTTGCTCTCAAAACCAAAGGGATTTGTCATTAAGCCACTTAGGGAATTTTATAAAACTAGTTAAATTTTGGGGTTCCTCTCCAAAATACTGTTTGGTGCTGCTGTTAAAATAAAACTTTATTTGGTGTTCCTTATGAAATATTTCAAATTAGACTTCAGCTCTTATATCTGGAGAGTTAATCAAGTTGTACTACACTTAAAATGAAAAACAATTTAGCAACCTGTAAAACTTCCTTAAATTAAGGCACAGGGATGCTTTATTTAACTAATATATAATGTGTTTTGTTTCCTTGTAGAGAATTCACTATTGAAACTGAAGGGAAAACATTTCAGTTAACAAAAGACATGGTCAATGTGAAGAGATTCCAGAAAACACTACATGGTAAAATTTTAAAAATAATAAACAAACAAAAATCATTATTCCTTAAAGTTTTTTTAAAAAGTGTTTTACAATATAACCATTTTACAGAAAATTTAGAGAGGAAAAAAAAAATCCTTAATGCCATAATCATAAATTTGGTGGATATGTTTAAGATACTCACTTGGGCATTTTTTTCTTTTTTAAACATAGTTGTACTCATACTGAAAAATGACTTATAATGCTGCATTTTTATTTCCTGTGGTCTGAGATGCATATGAAGAATATCTCTGGTTAAAAACTTAGAAAAAAGAAAATTTTAAGGAAAAGTCTTTTTGTTTCTTGAGCAAAAGAGGGAAGTCACCTCTCTCCCCTCTCTTTTTTGGCAAAATGACTTGTTAAAAAGTCATTTAGATCAGTGACCTTTCATGCTTTTTTAAAAGCTAAGGAAATGGTTATTTTTGTAGGATAAATTCTGTGAATTGGACAGAGTATTTTGGAGCATGTGTGAGGGATGCTGATGCAGCCAGGCTTCAGTGATCAGTGATAGAGGAAGCTGGGGCTCCTTCTTCATGCTCTGGAGCTTTGGAGCCATCATCCTGGCAGCTGGTTCAGAGCTGTACTTCACCATTACTTGGAGGTCATGGAAGGGCAGGAGAAAAGTGCCTTGATCATATTTCTAAAATATTATTCTTACTCTTTATCAGACAAAAGAAATAGCCTCTCTTTTTTTTTTCTAATTATCTCATTTCCCATAAAACATAAACCCATAAGATCACAGTCAGTTACCTTAGACCTGGAGAGTGCTTAGCAGTGCTTCCTTTCCAAATAATAAGTAATAATTATTAATCTATTTCCTGTATACATCACAGGTATAGTCTCACCCATGGGAAGATCTGGGGGGCCCCTGGTAGAATGTCTTTGATGGACTGCTGGTCCCTGAGCAAACTCTTCTCTGAGGGCTTCCTGGCCCTGGAACCTTGGGAATAAAATGCACATAACTTGGCTCTGAACAAGTTCTCATCAAGATAACAAGCTAAAAAAATAAAACCACAAATCATGTGATACTTGTTGGGCATAGGAATTGTTTTTGTTAATTTTGTTAGCTGTGGTTATAGATTCTTAACTCTAGCAAAGTCTTAATTAAAGATCTAGAGTTTTAATGCTTTCTGGACAGGCAAGCCAGATGATTAGAGTGTAGCTTCTGTTCTTTGTAGCTTAGCAAGTAAGGAAGGAATGCTCTGGTAACTCAAGTTTCATTTTTACACTATATAGACAAAGAAATTCGGTGAACTTTTTTTTTTACTCCATCTTTCTCTTTAAACGTGTATTCTCTGCCCCCAAATAGGTTTTAGGAATGTTCTGATTTTTTTGTACTTATGACCAAAATTCATGTCGAACAGATATTTTTAATGCTGAGTTGGTTAGAAAGGATCTGAAATGCATTATGTGGTATTTGAGAGAATGCTATTGGATTTCTGTTTCTTGCAGTGGAAGAAGTTGTTCCAAGTGTAATTGAGCCCTCCTTTGGCCTGGGCAGGATCATGTATACGGTATTTGAACATACATTCCACGTACGAGAGGGAGATGAACAGAGAACAGTAAGTTGTCTTGTACAGTGTGCTATTCTCTTAGAGTACCAGAAAATAAAATTTACTGAAGTACATTAATAAGACTCTGGATTGACCAATTAGTTGTTATTTACTATAATATGCTAGTGATGTCAACACTCATCTTTGCTTAACTATTTATAAGCAAAGCACTTTCATATGTTGTCTTATTTGAACTTTAGGATGTATAGGTTATTCTAGAAGCCATTGTTTTAGTTGCCTGGTACTGTCTGAGACCGAACATATTACTTTGGGGAACAATCTGTATTTCATTAATGGAAGGAATGGTACTTTCTGGATATACTCTTGTTTTCAGGAACTTGGGAAGGATAAGATGGCTCATAGAATTTGGCCAAACCACCAAACTGTATCTATGCACTGGTAGAACATTGAAGGGAACCTTCTCAGACTGTATTAAATTGTCTGGGGTACTTTTGGGAAAGATGTAAATTCCTAGGTTCAATTGCAGAAATGCTGATTCACTATGTCTGACACCAGAGATCTGTGAGTTTTATTTTAAAGAGCCCCAGGTGCTTCCATTGTGGGAGCTTGACAGATCGTAAATTGGGCAGTAGTATCTGGAACCTTCTCTAGCATTCAAGCATTGCTGAAGATAGAAGTTGCAAAGTTTTATTCTTTAGCTTTAAAGTAAAAGAAAAAAAAAGTTGATGAGTCGTTGTGAGCTCCCGCACATTTTCTCTGACACATCGGGATCACTGCCTTCCACTTATCTCCTCATTCTGCCTCACTTCACCTTTCTCCCTTCCCCTCCCCTCCCTTCTGCCTGCAGGAATTATACTCCTTTAATTTCTAGACACAGATTTCCAGAAAAACCAATCAGAAGAATGGCTAGAAAGGGGAGGTTGTATATGTCAAATTAATTGGAAAAAACCCCATGAACATTCTTGTGTGCTTGACCACTCTAAAGCTTGAGTGTGTACATATTGTTGGGCATCAACTCTGTGATTCTTTCTAGAAGATTTAACCTTGAAGAATGTACTGGTGAGTTTTTGACACACCAGGATTTTAAAAGGTCTGACACTATTGTAATATGTAGCTAATAACAGTATTTTACTCTTTGCCCTAAAGTTGTGTCTTCATTTCCTGACATTGAAGGAGCAGCTCTTCATTAACAGATAGTAAGAATCTAGGCTAGGCCCCAGATGTGCAGACACATTTTTACTCTTTGCCCTAAAGTTGTGTCTTCATTTCCTGACATTGAAGGAGCAGCTCTTCATTCAACAGATAGTAAGAATCTAGGCTAGGCCCCAGATGTGCAGACATAAGGCTTGCTTCTTCTTGCAGAATACTGATGTACGGTACTGAATGTATTCATTTTAGATGTCAAGTTTGCTTTAAGCTTTTCCTGCTTATTTTTCTAATAAAAAGGTGTTCAAAAAAATCTTTTAGGTGTTCCTTCGAATCTAACAATATTGATATAACTGGAGCTTTAAGAGAAATTTCATAAAGGCTGAACAGGAGTAAATTAGTGATAGTGTTTTATGAATTGCATTGAGATTCCCATCATGAAGAGAAATTTGATTAAGCTGTGGGAAGCCAAAAATGTTTCTAAATTATTAGCACCTAGTCCCTTAATCCATTTGCCTACAGATTTGCTGTAAAAACATTGCTAGTGAAATTAGGAAAATTATTTTTCTATAAAGGCAGGTCCCTACTTCTCTCACATTAAATAGAATTATCAGAAGATGTAGGAGGGGGGTAGAATCTGAACATTTTGTGATGTAGGCAGCAGTATTGGTAGAATACAGGGTTTACTCTTAGTGGAATATTTATCATTGACGTTAAAGGTTAATTAAGCTTTGAGCAGGGTACTAAACTGGAATTTGTGTCATTCATTATTTTCGTGGGACAAATTCATTCCAACTTCTGTATTCTTGCCTTCAAGTGGATCTTTCGTACAAATACTATTTCAGAACTGCCTTCAACTCTCATTTTCAATCCAAAATGCTAGACTGGTTTATCTTCACAGAATATCTTTGCTTTCTTTGATTTCTGAGTTACTCAAACCTATTACAGGAACAGTTTAAAAGGGCTGCACTTTCAGAATAGATACACAGAACATGTTTTTTGGTTTTGTGCTATTTCTTTTGGACGTACCTGTCTGTTTTGCTTGGTCACCGAGGCTCATAGACTCACTTCTTAAAGGACAGAGTGGGATTTGGTTTTCGGCACTACCGCTTGTTTGACGATTTGGGGGAGGTTCTTCAGATGGTCCCCACAGAGAGAAGTGAGGCTTTTATGTGGGACCAAAATTTACCATCTCATATTTATAGCAGCTTTTTTGTAACAGACTTGTGAAGTAAGCAGAGCAGGTGGTAGAGCCTCACCTTTTGGATAGAGAAACAAAGGTTTGACAAAGGTTTGGAGAGATGGTGCAGATTCAGAGCTGAAACTAGGTGGTTCTGGTTCTCTTGTTTCTCTTGTGTTCTCTACCTTTCACATCATGTTTTCTGGCACTTTGCTAGTGAAGTTATGATTGGACACCCACTGAATGTTAATCTCTTTTGGTTTGGGACATTAACATTTAGATAATTTTTTCTTTTTAAACCATCTAGTTCTTCAGCTTCCCTGCTGTAGTCGCTCCATTCAAATGTTCTGTCCTCCCACTGAGCCAAAACCAGGAGTTCGTGCCATTTGTCAAGGAATTATGTAAGCAAATCCAATTGGGTAATCTTCAGGGGAATACCATCAAGTAGATTGAATTTAGGAAATGTGTCATTTATTTCAATAAAAATATAGATTGAATAAAGAATAGATCTCAGTGATTTTATCCTCTGCTCTTATGCTTGCTCAGGATGTTTTATCCTAGCATTTGAATGAGTCAAGTAGGACCCAAGAGTCGTATTTAAAAATTATTTGCTTTTCGTATTGACCTTGGTGCTCATTTCATCTGGGGAACCCGAGTATGGTATAGCAACCCTTAGTGGAGCTACAGCCACCTAATCCACAGCACTGAAATGGATCCTAGTGGTCATATGGTGTGGCCCACTTGTTTCAGAGTTGGGAAATGGAAAGAGTGCATTGAGCTGCCCAGGGCCACACAGGTAGAAGTGGCAGAGCCGGGATCTACCTCCTCACCTTGGCTCTTAGTCCAGTGCTTGTTCCCCCCGCAGCTGTATCAGATGTAGGCGTGAGTGAAGGTTTGGCCTCCAGCAAGGGGTTTATTAAACATTTGGGATTTTTCTTTCTCTTGTGATCGCAACTTGTTGCTCTCTTGTCTTGGTCCCTTTTATAAGATTCCCAAGCTTGTAAGATAGCATTTAGAGGACATGGGACCTAACTCTATTATTTTGTTTTTAATTTACTTCATTTATTTTGGATAGCGGAAGCCCTGACCAGGAACGGCGTGTCTCACAAAGTAGATGATTCCTGCGGGTCAATTGGAAGACGCTATGCCAGGACTGATGAGATTGGGGTGGCTTTTGGCATCACCATTGACTTTGACACAGTGAACAAGACCCCACACACTGCCACTCTGAGGGACCGAGACTCGATGCAGCAGATAAGAGCAGAGGTACCCGGCCTTTTCTTTGGCATTTTTGGTCTTAGAAATGTGTACTGGTTCTTACTGATTTGAGAAGGATTTTGATATATTTATGCTCCCTTTCCCTTTTTTATTTTATTTTTTCTAACTTTAATTATGGGCTTTTATCAGACAGAGCCCAGGTTCCCAAATCCCCTGGTTTAATTATGAAAATATCTATTAGCACTTCTCTAGTATTTGATAGCAATTTAGATTGCTCTGGGCTTGTTCACTGGCAGTTTGCTTTTGCAGTTGTTTGTTTATTGGGCAAGAGAAATATCCCAAGAGGTTGTTGCCATAGTTTTATTGGCAGGCTTTTGGAGGCATAGGCATTTTTATCTTTATATTTCCATGTGAATGTATACCTGTGTATGTATAGACTTTTCTGTGTTAATCCATTCAAAACAGTGAATAATGTTTCAGTAGTTTTACTTAATAGGAAGGGAATTATGGAGATGAGACACACAAAAGGGGAAGGAGGGATTAGTAAGGGAAAGGAAAGAGTGGCCATGTTAAGTGACAACTGCATGACTAATTTATTAACTTTGAGCAAATATTATTTAGAATACCTATTACATGCTCAGCTTGATGGAGTTATGTAATAGGGAAAAAAGAAGAAAAGACTGCTTTCTTCCAAAAGAGTTTATAGTCTCTCTCTCTCTCTCTCTCTCTCCCTCTCTCCCTCTCTCCCTCTTTCCCTCTCCCCCCTCCCCCCCTCTCTGTCTCTCTCTATATATATAGTCCATTATATATACAGTTTATAGTTTAGAGCACATACATATATATATATATATAGTTTAGAGTTTAGAGTTTTTTTTCCAAAAGAGTTTATAGTCTAATTCAGAAGTCATGGATTTCTGGCTTATCATTTTACAAACCAGATCTGGCTACTCTGGACCTACATTTCCATCAGGCTGTGGTTCTTAAAGTGTGGTCCCTGGACTAGTAGCATCCGTATCACCTAGAACTTATTACATAAGCAAGATCTGCCCCCCCAGACCTACTAAGTCAGAAACCAGGCTTGGAGAGGGGGCAGGCAGAACTGTTTTAACCAGACCTGCAGATGATTCTGATGCACACAGAAGTTTGAGAACCACGGCTGTGTGGCAGCCAGTGTTTGGTTATGGTGAGGAACAGCTGGCCCCTGAATTGGGGCTCTTCAGTTTGCAATCTCCCATAAGTGACATGGAGATTTAGAATAGTTAGGAAAGGCTTGGTGGCAAAATTGAGTTATCCAGGATAGCAGGTGGGTATCGTGGGCTGGAAGAGGAGGATGAACCCGGGCCTGGGAAGAGGCTGAGTGGGAGTGACGAGAAACATTATGTAGGGCCAAGTTTGTAGAGGGACCCTTCATTCAGACATTGTTTTGGTACTATGTAAGGTTTCCTGAGTTTTCTCTTTTTGAAAATGTAAACAAGTTGGTTGATACTTGGACTTTTCTTTCCTCTTCCCCAGGTCTCTGAACTGCCCAGTCTAGTCCGTGACTTGGCCAATGGCAGCATCACATGGGCTGACGTGGAGGCCAGGTATCCTCTCTTTGAAGGGCAAGAGACTGGCAAAAAGGAGACAATCGAGGAATGAGAACAATTTTGACAACTTTTGACCACTTGCACTAATAAAAAAAATAACTTATCATGTCCACTTTACAAAAAAAAAAAAGCATTGTGATCACTCCCAGGGACTGTATTTTATCATCAGTGGCTGCCTGATTTTACCCCCACAATTAAAGTTGAAGTTCTCAACAAACTTATAGTTAATTTGCTCATGTTTCCACATTTCTGGCAAAGCAGTTTCTCCCACTTTGAAAAGACATATTCATGGTTTAATGTTAAACACAATTAATACTTTTTAAAATTAACTTCTTTTCATTCTGGTAAAATGTACGTATCACAAAATTAGCTTGTTATAAACATACAATTCAATGATATTTAGTATATTTACAGAGTTGTACAGTAACCACCACAATCCACTTTTAGAACATTTTCATCACTCAAAAAAATGTTATGTCCATTTACCATCACTCGCCATTCCTACCTCAGCCCCAAGCAACCACTAATCTACTTTCTGTCTCTGTAAATTTGCCTTTTCTATTCTTTCTCTTTTCCTGAGAAAGTGGTGCATTATGCTGAAGAGACAGCAGTCCCCGAGCAGGGGGAATGGCTTCTGGGAAAGGCATGCTGGTGTGGGGGCATAGGGTCGTTAACCCCAGTGTTCCACAGGAGGGGGTGCGTTGGCAGAAGTGCCCTCTATTTTAAGGTGTGCTTGTACGTGGCTTCACTGGAAGCTCTGGAAATCGTTGAGCTCATGATGCTAGAGGAACCACATTTGTCTTGTCTGACTTAGCAGTTCTTAGCCATCACAATGTCTTGATTCTAGCCTACTAGTTTTTGGCTTAGCTTTTAAGGCACATTACTTCTATTATATTTTTGTACAGAACACTCAAAAGACGTATGCTTATTTGGAAGAAGAAAGTTCAAGGATGTGTGAATTTGAGCAGCTGTTTATTTTCAGAGTTAGGAAGTGCCTAATGTCCCGACTTCCTGCCATACAAAATTGGGTAAGGGAGGGGTGATCTCGAGAATGTTTTCTTTTTTCTTGAATACTAAAAGCAATTGAAGTTGTGATTTCTTAGATGCAAAGTAAGGATCCCCCAGAGATTCTCTTATTTTTATCCATTTCTGACGATGCCCACCACACCAGTGCTGTACAGAGTAGATATATTCAGTAAATAGTCTTTGGATGAGTCTTGAATTTTTTTTGTTTGGTTTGTTTTGTTTTGTTTTCCTTTTTGTCTTTTTTTTTACTGACCGGTAACGGGATCGCAACCCTCGGTGTTGCGCCCGCACCTCGCTCAACCAGTGAGTGGGAACCGGTCTCCACATGGGATCTGAACCCTCGGCGGGAGTGCCGGGCGCACTCTCCAGTGCGCCACCGGGCCGGCCCAGTCTTGAATTTTTGAACAAACCTCTTGGGAAAGAAAGCCCTATACTGAAGCTTATTTCTCTTCTGTCTGGTGCTTTTCTAAGAATTTATTATTAAATTAGAAGGAACTGGATTCTAAATAAACTGAGTTTTCATTTTCTGGGGATTCCTGTCACCTAAAATTCCTTATAATATAGCTCTCAGCTGGGCATATATTCCAGTTTTCTCACATTGTGGGGTTTGTTCTCACTTTTTCTCATTAATTTACTTTCTTTTACAGCGAAAACGACAATCACCACAACCTCAGACATTGTTATGAGCTCATTAATAGGGAAAGATATATTAAACACAGTGAGACTTACCTACTTTGGGTCACAGAGGGATTGGAACTGAAGCTCTCTTCACTGGCAGAAACATTTGTCATGAGCTAAGGCTGGGCATTAAATCTGCCCTCCCTTTCTGTGGTCCTCCCCGTTGGTGGTGGTGCATGATTTCTCCTAAGAGGACACTTGCTGTCTCTGAAGTGATGGATTGCTTGAGTGGGCAAGGTGAGCCAGGCAGCAGAGCTTGCTGGTTCCCTTTCTGCCATGTTTGCTTGATTCTCAGCATAAGCAGGTGAAGAACTGTTTTTTAAACCAAGAGTCTTTTCATACATGAGAGTGCAGAGTGCATGTACACACACAAGCACCACTTCTATTTAAGCCCAATGTCCATTTAAAGTCAGGGCATTTCTGGCTTGATGTTCTGTGAAGCCTCTTTTTACTATTAATGTATTTGTATGTATCTGACCGGGCTAGCTAAATGAGATAGATAAGTAACATCTCTCAGAGATGTTATCCCTGTTCCTCACTCTCCCCCAAAAATAGTGATGGGGGAGGGTCAGATTCTAAAACTTACCTTATGTTGAGATTCAGGTCATTCAGTTAAATATGTGGAATTATGTCTAGAGAAGGAGTCTGTGCCTGGCTTCTGCAGGAGTGTAGAACCTTAATATTGCTAACAGCTCATAATGGAAAAATACTGAATATAGATGGATGTTCCAGAAAAGGAATTTATCAGCAAGTCATAAATGTCCTTATTAATTTCATGAAATGGTACTAGAGATGTCAGATATCCAAACTTCTTTGTGACAAGAATTTGCAAAATTATTTTGTTCAATAAATCACTTGAAATAGATTCATTCTAGATCTTATTTACTGTACCCTTAACCAGTGGAACCTCAGGGTAATGGCAGTGACTGTCTTAGTCAGTGGAATGTAAGTGGATGGGTGAATAAGCTTGTGCCCCCCAAAATTCACCTCTTATTGCCTGTTCAACAATTCTTGGTTATTGGGCTGCCTCTAAGCAGTAATTGTGTTAAGACCATGTGGATGGAATTAACATCTCCAAAAACTGAGATATGATCTGGAAGATTCACCAGGGATTGCCTGAGAGGAGCGGCCTGTGGCTCTGTCCTCCTGCCAAAGACTCCTTCCCTCTTGTTGGTGACCTGCTCCCCTCTTAGTTGGCTGGCTTATCTTCCTTGTGTGGCAAAGGACACACCTTTTAAACCTGTTGGCATTAGTAAAAGATGTTAGGGCAGTGGTTCTCAACCCTGGCTGCACAGTAGAATCACTTAAGCTTTTAAAAACACTCCTGTCGGGACCCTACCTTACACCAATTTAATGAGTTTTTCTAGGCTGTGGCCTGGGCATCAGGTTTTTTTGTAAGTACCCTAGGAGAACCACTACTATAAGGGATACCTCAGCTCAAGCCATAAAAAGCCTCCACCCCATGGAGGGGGAACTGTCTTCTGAATAGAGAAGAGTTTCTTCTGGTAGTAGGTACCAAGTTATCAACATCAACATTTCCAGCAAAGATGAATTTACCAGGAATTGTTTTTGTGTTACTTCACTGAGATGACCAAATGTGCTATTATAAACCCCAGGCATCTTCATAGCTTAGGCCCTGCTTCCTGTGCAGCAGTGCTGGGGATGGATTCCTCTCCTCGGCCCACAAGCCCAGCCTATTCTGTTTCTCAAAGACTAAAGGTCCATTTGTTGGGTGCCTACTATGAACCAGGCGGTGTTCTAAGAGGATTCATATGTATTATCTCTTAACCTTTACATAATTTAGGGATCATTATCAGCCTATTCTGTTTCTCAAAGACTAAAGGTCCATTTGTTGGGTGCCTACTATGAACCAGGCTGTGTTCTAAGAGGATTCATATGTATTATCTCTTAACCTTTACATAATTTAGGGATCATTATTGTCCTTTTACATAAAAGGAAAAGGAAGTGGAACTTTTTCAGGTTCCTGGGCCAGTAGGGGCAGAACCAATTTTGAGCCAAGTTCAGAGTAGACGATCGTATCACACTCCGCTGCCATCTGTGTTTTGCTACCTTTTGTGATTAGGGGTGATGACTTGAGAAAGAAGGGCCTTGAAGGGTCTAATAAAATCTTCCCTCTGAAAAGAACAGTGCTACAGGGTACTTGACCTTGGAGAATGAGGAGATCCACATGTTCTCTGATAGCAGTGGGAACTTAGCTTCTCAAATGTAGGGAAGGCTTGAGCTCTTGAGATCAAAAGGGCTGACCTGGCACTGAGCTGCTTAGCCGCTGTCTTGCAGGCATGGGGTTGGCTTCATAGCTAATTGGACAGGCTCCTAGAGAAGCCGGCTAACCTACTCCCCTGTTCTTGTCACTCAGGTGCTTATTATAAGGGTTAAAAAGTTTGTGGCATTGGGAAATGTTTACTTGCGTATAATCTTGTGCTACAACTCAAGGCTTTTCCTTCCTGTCCCACACTTTTGGTAAGAGCAGATTTTTAGCCAGGGTGGGAAGTCTAGTTTTCCTAATTTACTTCAGGCCATGGTTTACTTCAAGAGAAGCTGTATCTGTAGACCCCTCTTTGAGGAAGGTATTGCTAATACTAGAGAGAAAAATGAGAGAATGTGGAGGAAAGCTACTAGTAGTCCCATTGTCAGCTTATAGAACTGATACATTCTGTCTCTGGTGCCCAATTCTGTCCTCAACCACTAATTTTGCTTAATGTTCTGTTTGGCTAAATTCTTCCTCTCTCTCATGCACGTGAGTGCATGTACGTGTGCGCACACACACAACACACACAACACACACACACACGCCCCTGGCCCTTGCCTATCTTCCTACTTCATCTCTTGTCCACTGTTCAACATTAGCACATTTTTTAAAAAAAGTTTTATTGAATCAAAATCGATTATACATATTTTTGGGGTTCGACATTGAGATATGTTGATCAAATCAATATTAGTAGCATATATATTGTTACAAATCATAATTATTCTTTATGCCCTTTGTCCAATCTCTCCCCATCCCCCTCTCCCTCCCCCTCCCCGCTAATTGCCCTAGATTTCTTCTCTCCTTCTGAAAGAATAATGGTTACTCTGTTGAGTTGTTGCCTAGATGATCTGTCCAATGCTGAGAGGTATGCTCAGGTCCCCCAATATTATAGAGCAGACTCTTCTTCTGTCACTCTGGAATGGGCTTTGTGGAGAGAGCCATCCTCTTCTTTTCCTTATCTCTGCTGGTGACTCTCCTTGTGTCAATGCACTCCAGTGGCTGGTGGACCATCTGCACGGTGGTTGTGACGTCTAGCCACTTTTGCGGCAGCTGTGGTTACTGTGGTGGATGTGGTGGGCCACCCACATGGAGGTGATGTTTTTGGCATGCTCCTTGGTGCTGGCAGTGTGCCTGTTTGTTGGGAATGTCTGGTCCCTGGCTCCATGCCTTGGGTTGCTGGGCAGGCCCCGACATGCTGGCGTGCTGTGCCTGGTTGTGAGAGGGGGTTATGGTCCCCTTCTCCAT